GGCAGCTGGGAGTGGGGGCTGGCACTCCCCTCGGTTCAGCCCTCCTGCAGTGCCATCGCGGAGCACTCCTGTGTGCCAGGCCCTTTCCTCAGCACAAGAGGCAGACAAGGCTCCTGCCCTGCAGAGCCTGCATCACAGTCCCCTGAGTGTGCAGAGGCAAAGCCAGACCGGACAGGAACCAGTCTCTTGAGTGTGCGGAGGCAAAGCCAGACCGGACAGGAACCAGTCTCTTGAGTGTGCGGAGGCAAAGCGAGACTGGACAGGAACCAGTCTCCTGAGTGTGCGGAGGCAAAGCGAGACTGGACAGGAACCAGTCTCCTGAGTGTGCGGAGGGACAGGAACCAGTCTCCTGAGTGTGCGGAGGCAAAGCCAGACCGGACAGGAACCAGTCTGTAGCTTGCACTGTGCTAAGCACTGTTCCCAACCCTCTGTGGAAGTGATTTTCTTTTTTTTTTCTTTTTTTTTGGGATATGGAGTCTCATTTTGTCACCCAGGCTGGAGTGCAGTGGTGCGATCTCGGTTCACTGCAACCTCCATCTCCCGGGTTCAAGCGATCCCCTGCCTCAGCCTCCTGAGTAGCTGGGATACAGGCACCTGCCACCATGCCCGGCTAATTTCTGTATTTTTAGTAGAGACGGCGTTTCACCATGTTGGCCAGGCTGGTCTGGAACTCCTGACCTCATGTGATCTACCTGCTTCAGCCTTTCAAAGTGCTGGGATTACAGGCGTGAGCCACCGTGCCCGGCCTGATTTTCTGTTTGAACCTCATCACAACCCCGTGGGCCGCACGTTAGCCGTGTCCTCACCTAAAGAAGAGACTGAGGCACAGAGGCCATGCCCAAGGTCACCCAGGCTGGAGCCGTGGCGGCTGGCCCATCTGTGCTCTGTTGCCCCTCGGTGGGTGGGTGATGGATGAGGCTGCAGGCTCCGAGGGGGAAAACAGGGTGATGAGAGAGAGGGACTCGGGCCGGGGACTTCCTGGCAGTGCTGGCCAGGGAGCCCCTGAGTCCAGCCTGCCCTGCTGCCACCCTAGGTCTGGAGCCTGGCTGCCAACCACTTGAGCTTCCTCAACTCCTTCAAGATGAAGATGTCCGTCATCCTGGGGGTCGTGCACATGGCCTTCGGGGTGGTCCTTGGAATCTTCAACCACGTGTGAGGGCCAAAGCTGCCTGGGGGATGGGAGGCTGGCAGGCCAGAGTGGGCCCCAGTGACCACGCCTCCCTCCTACCTGCCAGGCACTTTGGCCAGAGGCACCGGCTGCTGCTGGAGACGCTGCCGGAGCTCACCTTCCTGCTGGGGCTCTTCGGTTACCTCGTCTTCCTAGTCATCTACAAGTGGCTGTGTGTGTCGGCTGCCAGCGCTGCCTCGGCCCCCAGCATCCTCATCCACTTCATCAACATGTTCCTCTTCTCCCATAGCCCCACCAACCGGCCACTCTACCCCCGGCAGGTGTGCTGTGGCTGGGGGGCCCAGCTCACACAGCCTCATGGGGATCCCATGGTCACTGGGCCACTGGGAGCTGCAGGATCCTCGTCCGAGAAACGGGGATGCGGGCCCCGGGCTGTGCAGACAGGGCCGTCAGAGGTGATGGTGTGCATCTTTAGCAGGTGGCACAAGTGGCGCTGGGAACCTGGGGTCCATTCCCTCAGGAGTCCTTATGGAGCCAAATCCTCACTCAGTGAGGGCACGGAGCCCCCGGGGGCCCTGAAGGGAGGAGCGGCCACAGGCTCTCTGGGCCCTGTGACTGCTGTGATCCAAGTTCCTGTGCAGGTGTGCACAGCAGGGGTGCCCTGACTCTCGCCCTCTCCCTGGCAGGAGGTGGTCCAGGCCACGCTGGTGGTCCTGGCCTTGGCCATGGTGCCCATCCTGCTGCTTGGCACACCCCTGCACCTGCTGCGCCGCCACCGCCCCCACCTGCGAAGGAGGCCCGCTGGCCGACAGGTGGGACCGGGCCTAAGGTGTGGGGGGCTGCTTGGGAGGAGAGGCCACTGTCCGGTGTGTACCTGACTCCCCACTTCCTCACAGGCTCCTAAGTGGCCAGGAGCAGGCCTGGTGGGTGGCGGGGGCCCTCCTGAGGCTGGAGCGCTGCCAACACTGCCTGCTCGTTCCCCAGGAGGAAGACAAGGCTGGGTTGCTGGACCTGCCTGATGCATCTGTGAATGGCTGGAGCTCCGATGAGGAAAAGGCAGGGGGCCTGGATGATGAAGAGGAGGCTGAGGTGGGTGCGGTGCCTTCCTGGGGGTGGGACGGGTGAGGCCCCGCTGGCCCTCACTGCACCCGCCCCACAGCTCGTCCCCTCCGAGGTGCTCATGCACCAGGCCATCCACACCATCGAGTTCTGCCTGGGCTGCGTCTCCAACACCGCATCCTACCTGCGCCTGTGGGCCCTGAGCCTGGCCCACGCCCGTGAGTGACCTGGCCACCGACGGCCAGCCCCGGCTCCTGGCTTCTCACTTACGGCTGCTGGCTGGGCGGGTTTCTTTTCTCTGGGCCTCAGTTTCCCCTCTGTAAAGCGGGACTGTCCAAAGAGGTCCCTCGCTGGCTCCCCGTGCAGGGAGGGCTTCAGGCTGCGGCAGGTAGGTTGGGGGCTGGCAGGCCCCCACTTGCCGTTGGCCCCCACTGTCTCCTTTGCTCGCAGAGCTGTCCGAGGTTCTGTGGGCCATGGTGATGAGCATAGGCCTGGGCCTGGGCCGGGAGGTTGGCGTGGCGGCTGTGGTGCTGGTCCCCATCTTTGCCGCCTTTGCTGTGATGACCGTGGCCATCCTGCTGGTGATGGAGGGGCTCTCGGCCTTCCTGCACGCCCTGCGGCTGCACTGGTGAGCAACCACCCTGTGGCCTGGGCTGCTCGAGGTGGGAGTTCCCCTCACCAACCCCTCCTCTTCTCACCCCCAGGGTGGAATTCCAGAACAAGTTCTACTCCGGCACAGGCTACAAGCTGAGTCCCTTCACCTTCGCTGCCACAGATGACTAGGGCCCACTGCAGGTCCTGCCAGACCTCCGTCCTGACCTCTGAGGCAGGAGAGGAATAAAGAGGGTCCACCCTGGGGAGTGATGTCTCGTCTCTTCCCTCCCTTCTAGCTGAGGCAGGTGGCAGGGTAGAAGGCATGGTGTAGGATCTGGGACCTCAAAAAGTCGAGGCCAGGACCTGCAGATCTGCAATGTCAGACTCTTGGGGTGAAAAGGGGCAGAGAAGGGCCAAGGAGGGACGTTTCCAGCACATTATAACTTGGAGTGAGCAAATGTATTCCCAGGCCGGGTTAGGGGAGTGAGCTCCCCATCCTTGGAGGTGTGCAACTGGCTGTGAGCGGGTGTTTGGGTTACTCTCTGTTGGGAGTGGTGCCAATATCCATGCCCTGGTGCCGGGCCTCAGGGGGCTGGAAGTACAGAGCAGTCTGGGGCACCTGAGTCCCGGTCCATGCTCCAGGCAGGGCTATGGTGTCACACGCCCAAGGCCACATGCCTGCCAGGAAGGGCAGAGGCTGTCCCGAGCAGCAGACATTACCCCAGGCCCCGGGGGTCAGAACAGGGGCTGAGCCTGACTCCAAGCCCAGCCTCCCCTCACTGAGGCTACAGTCTTCCTGACCCCTCCCCGGTGCTCCTTCCTGCGTTGCTGGCAGGACGGGGGTGGCTTTCTGCAGTCTCCTCTGGCCTGGGTCCCACCCCTGCTGGGAGGCAGAGCCAGTGCTTCCCAGAAGCCAACAAGCTGCAAAGTGGTTCTTCCCACAGCTGTGGCTGTGGCCCGCTGCTGGGAGGAGCCTGTCCATTGGCTCCTGGACTGCCTTGCTCAGGACCTCCGGATGCCAGCGGTGGTATCAGGGCCTCTGAGGTAATTCTACATGCCGAGCAGACTCAGCTTAGAGAAACGGTGCCATGGTGCTGGGGTAGGAACAGAGGAGGCTAAATGAAGGACTCCGGAGAGCTGCAGGTGGATCTGGACCAAATCCAGAACCCAACGCGTCACTCCCTCCTGGGGAGGGAGCTGGGCAGAGACTTGGGGCAGGCAGTGAGGTGGGGATAGGTGAGCAGCACTCGTGGCGACTGGCCCCAGTGTGATTTAGGAGGGGTGTGGTGTGGGATCCCAGGGAGATGACCAGTCAGCCCTGCCCTGGCTTTGACATGGGGGTACCTGGCAGTGGTGGCTAGAGAAGTCCAGTTTGCCATGAGAATGGCACATAAAAAGGCACTGGGGTGGGCACCTCTGGGGCACGGAGGTCACTGGGAGACACAGGGATGGAGTGGGTCACCTGCGTGGAAGACTCGGCAGTGAACAGCACAAGGCCCGAGCCCATCCCTGTCCACGTGAGCTTATGGCCTGATGCAGAGACCACCAGGGGCTCCAGGAAAGTTAAGGTGCATGGAGAGAAACGATGGGCCAGGGCCGGGCCCAGGGTGGTTTAGGGAATGCCGGTGTCTTGGGTAGAATAGCAAGGCCTGAGATTGTAACTGAGCTGACAGCAGGGCAAAGTGAAGGAGACCAGTATTGGAAGATCGGCTCCAAATGTATCTCTGCAAGGAGACTGCAAGTGAGCTCGTGTGTGAAGGACCAGGCAGAGGTGAGGGCTAAGTGAGGCCAGCAGTGGCCTGGGCACAGGAAGATGGTGAGTGAGAAGCCACCAGAGCTCCTATGCAGGAGTGTACCACCACTGCTGTTCAATTCAGTTTGGCTTCACCTGTTTAAAACTGTAACTCTCTAGAAGGGTGAATAGTGAAAGCCTCCCTCCTGCCCCTGCCCAGCCACTCAGTGTCCCCAGGCACCAGCGCTGCTCCCAGTCTCCAACGTCCTCCAGGGCTCTTCATTTCTGGGCTAGAAGCAGGGAAACCAGAGTGTGACAGGGAAGAGGAGGTGGAGGAGGGCCGATGGGGTCACACGCTGCTGGGATGCCAGCTGAGAGCAGTGGGGCACTGCTGAGCTGAGGGACTGGGTGGGTGCAGATGGAGCCGTCCATGGGCTCCTTCAGGTACCAGGAGCCCTCCCTGAGATTTAGGACACATCCAAGGGCGACAGCTTGAGGTTGGGTTTTTATTATTTTATTTGTATAGTACAATCTCTGTGGTAGCAGAAATATATGCACAAAAAACAATTCAAATAAGAGTTCAGAGTAAAAAAAGTCAGCTAAGACTGTATCCCGCGGGACATTTCATATATATGGATTTCACAGCTACACTCAATCCACGCCGTTCACCACATAGAGGCTGCTGTCTCCCACAAGAATGACGACGTCAGGGACATCGGGAAAGTTAAGGGCCGGGAAACTGAGCCTTCAGAGAACCCAGGCCAGGGTTTCCCTCACCCTGCCTGGGGGCGGCCCAGCCCACTCAACAGGATCCCACACTTCAGGCAGAGCAGAGGGCAGGAGAGGCCCAAAGAGCTGGGTCTATCAGTTGGCTCCCCTGGGAGGGGAGCTGGGAGACAGGGAGGTCCTCACACTGCCCCATGGCCATGCACGGCTGTCTGCACACTCCATCAGGAGGAAGGGCAGGGAGAAGTCACACGCAGTACAGTGAAATTCATCAATGTCACACACGCCCAGCAGGAGGGGAGAGCTGTGCTCCACACGCAGGCGGCAGCAATCCACTGCTCCAGCTTCAGCCATGGGACCAAGAGGATACAGGAGCAGCTTCTGGGGGCCCCAGGCAGAAGCTACCTTGCAGTAGTGACTGGCGACTTCACAGTACATCTCTGCTCACTTGCCGTCCCTTGGGAATGAGCAGCGTCTATAACACATCGCCATCTACAAAAGCCTGCTCACAGTGTTCACCAGCACATTCATGAAAAAAAAAATTTAAATCAACATTAACCAAAGTACCTGCAAGTAACACTGCTTACTCTTGCTGTTTGCCCTTTCTGACTGGAAACCTTAGCCCCCAAATATGAAACGCCTTCTCTAGATTAAAAGGATTCAGAGATGTTGCACTATTGCACTATATTTCTGCTTCCCAATCTCATTTCTGAGTCCTAGTGAAATTGTAAACGAGAGGTGAAATAAATGTCGCTCCATTTTAATACAGTCTTTAGTATCATAAACATCTGTGTTCAGTAGTGAGCCACCCAAAGCCTCCTGCCACAGGAGCAGTAGTCGAAGCACAGAGGGGACCCCGCTCCGCCGCCTCCCCATGCAGTCCAGTGATGAGGTGGATGGAGTCCTCCCCACAGTCACACCCCAAGCTTCCTCTTCTGGTGGAAATAGGCATCAAACCTTGCTTGGGCGTAGTCCTAGGAGAGAGCAAAGAGAAGCAAGGAATCCTGCTGGCCTGCCCCTGCCCATGTGTCCCCCAAACCCCACCCCTGGCAAGAGCTGAGGGCACGGACCCATGAGACCAACAGCACAGGACTGGCCTGTGCAGCAGGGCTGCTCCGCAGGTGCAGGCTCCTCAAGCTCCTGGCCCACCCTGCACACCTTCATTCTCAGGAGGCCTGTTTACAGGCATGGGCCAGCCCAGCCCTGCCTCTCAGGATGGACGTGTCGTCCACACGCTTGGCACTGCTACCATTCATCACCTTGTTAACCTTGGGTGCTGTGGGCACTGGCTGACCGACATAACACACTTTTTAGAGCAAAAGGCCCCTGGGACATAGGCAAGTCTAGAATAGAAGGGGAGAAAAAAGAGGATGCCCGTTGCCTATTTCCCGGGATCTCCTGCAGCATGACTTTTAAGAAAGACACTGAGAGGCAAGGGAGAACACCTGGCTTGGTGTTCTGTTTCTGCCACTGTATTTTTCTGGGTCTCTTCCCTCATCTGTCCATCAGTGAGGACAACACAATCTCAAAGACCCACTCCTAATCTAAAAGTCTGCAATTCTAGAAGCCAGGAAGATTACAATAACACTTTTTTGAAAAATTAACTCTGAGCTGTAATTTCTACTCTATAAGCATGAGCCCATTTTAAGTGTCCAGTTGGAGGGCTTTCACAGATGCATCCAGCCAGTTCTCCACCACTGCAGTCAGGAGGAGACCTGTGTTTCCAGCATCCCTACAAGCTCCCATGGGCCTCTTGCAGTTGGCCACAGGCAGCCACCGACTCAATTTTTGTCACTATGGATTGGACTTTTCTTTCCTAGAGTAGCACATAAATGCCACCATACAATATGTACCCTCGTGCCTAGCTTCTCAGCGTGATGTCTCTGAGTGGCCCATGCTGTCATGCATTCGTGCCACCTTCCTTTGCACTGCCAAGTGTTCTCAGTACACGGATCTGGCACTGTAGTATCCACGCACCTGCTGACTGGCATTGAGGCTGCTTCCAGTTTGGGACAATTACAAATGAAGCTGCAGGCCAGGCACGGTGGCTCACACCTGTAATCCCAACACTTTGGGAGGCCAAGGCCGGCAGATTACTTGAGGTCAGGAGTTCAAGACCAGCCTGGCCAATATGGAGAAACCCCCTCTACTAAAAATACAAAAATTAGCTGGGTGCAGTGGCGCACGCCTGTAATCCCAGCTACTCAGGAGGCTGAGGCAGGAGAATGGCTTGAACCCAGGAGGCAGAGGTTGCAGTGAGGCAAGATTGGGCCACTGCACTCCTGCCTGGGCAACAGAGTGAGACTCTGTCTCAAAAACAAACAAACAAATGAAGTTGCTATGAGCGTTTGAGTTTAAGTCTTGGTGTGGAATCTGTTTTTCATCTGTTCTGGAAAAATTCCCCAGGAGGGCTGCTGGCTGGTCTAACGCATGCATCTTCACGCCGGCTGTCGCAGACTGCATTCCCAGCAGCAGTGCACGCGCATTCCCATTGCTCTATCTGCTCGCCAACATTTGAGACTGTCAGTTCTTTCAAGTTTTAGCCATCACTGTGGGTGTGTAGGGTATCGCAATGAGGCTTTGATTCATATTTCTTTAACGACTAATTATATGAAACACATGAAAAGATTCTTACTGGCCATGTGTTTCTCTTAAGTGTCCAAATCTTCTATCCATTTATAAAGCAGGCTGAGACCGGGTGTGGTGGCTCACGCCTGTTTTCCCAGTACTTTGGGAGGCCAAGGCGGGCGGATCACCTGAGGTTAGAAGTTGGAGACCAGCCTGACCAACACAAAGAAACCCCGTCTCTACTAAAAATACAAAAACAAAATTAGCCGGGTGTGGTGGTGCATGCCTGTAATCCCAGCTACTCGGGAGGCTGAGGCAGGAGAATCATTTGAACCCAGGAGGCAGAGGTTGTGGTGAGCCGAGATCGTGCCATTGAACTCCAGCCTGGGCAACAAGAGCGAAACTCTATCTCGAAATAATAATAATAATAATAATAATAATAATAATGCAGGCTGTTTGGTTTCTGGCTGACTTATGAGTTCTTTATATATCCTAAATATGAATCCTTTATTAAATATACATTTGTACTATTTTCTCCCAGTCTGTGGCTTGCCTTCTCATTTTCTCCATGATATCGTTCAAAGAGTTTTTCATTTTGATGAAGTCCAACTGTGATGATATATACGAGTGTTTTTGTAGCTGGTCCCTGTCTCATAACTCCCATAGCCCTTACTACAGTAAACAGAATCTCCCTCTCTGACCTTCTGCCGTCCTTTCACCTGCCCAAAGCTAGACTCTGATCTGACTGTGGGTCATAAGACTTATTCCAGAGAGGGTCCTGCCTCATACCCTGGGATAAGGAATGCTGTGCAAAGAGGCCCAAAGAACCTGGTCAGGCCTTGCCGGGTTTAGATCACACCTTTTTTGGTCCAATCACATTTCAACATGGTTGTCCATGTTTCAATCATGCCTATCCAATGACATTTCCATAAAATGCCCAAGAGGACAGGGTTTGGGGAGTTTCTAGAGAACCGCAGGTGGAGGCTGACAGGAAGGTGAACAAGAATGAGTTCCCCAACCCACCTGCAGGTACAGAAGCTCCTGTGCTCAGAATCCTTTCAGACCTCACCCCACCTATGTATCTCTTCACCCTTAAAATACCCTTTGTTAGCTAAGCATGGTGGCGGAACGTCTGTAGTCCCAGCTACTTGGAAGGCTGAGGCAAGAGGATCACTTGAGTCCAGAAGTTAGAGACAGCCTGGGCAATACAGTGAGACCCCGTCTTAAAAAAAAATACACCGGTAAACTTACATGTTTCCCTGAGTTCTGTCAGCCGCTCTAGCAAATTAATTGAACCCAAGGAGGGGAACATGGGAACCCTAATATATGGCTGGTTGGTCAGAAATTCCAGAGGCCTGGACTTGCAACTGGTGTCAGAAGTGGAGGGCAGTCTTAAGGTCTCAGCCCTCAACCTGTGGGGTCTGATTCTCTCCCCAGGTAGACAGTGTCGTAATGGAATTGGAGGACACCCATCTGCTATCCACTCCAGAACTGACTGCTTGTTTGTGAGGGGGGAGAACCGTCCCCCGACTTTAGTCTTCTGTGGTGATGATTGTTGCTGATGAAAGGAATGGGAAAAAGCACTTTGGTTTTTATGTGTTTCCTGCTCACAGCAACTTACTCTATTTTTTCCTCTTTTATGGCTAGTGCTTTATGTAACCCAATAAATCTGTGCTTAAGTCAGTAAGCTTTTTTTTTTTTTTTTTTGAGACAGAGTCTCGCTCTGTCCCCCAGGCTGGAGTGCAGTGGCGCAACCTCCGCTCACTGCAAGCTCCGCCTCCCAGGTTCACGCCATTCTACTGCCTCAGCCTACCGAGCAGCTGGGACTACAGGCGAGCAGCTGGGACTACAGGCGCCTGCCACCAGGCCCGGCTAATTTTCTGTATTTTCAGTAGAGACGGGTTTTCACCATGTTAGCCAGGATGGTCTCAATCTCCTGACCTTGTGATCTGCCCGCCTCAGCCTCCCGAAGTGCTGGGATTACAGGCGTGAGCCACCGCGCCCGGCCTAGGTCACTAAGCTTTTCTCTTGTGTTTTCTCACAGAAACTTAATAGTTTTAGCCTTCACATTTAGGTCTGTTACCTGTTTCAAGTTGACTGCTGTTTATGGCACGGAATCAGGTTCAGTTTTTTCTCCATATGACTCTTCAAATGTTCTTGCATCGTTTTTTGAAAATATAATCCTTTCCCTCTTAAATTACCTTGGCCTTTCTGTTGAGTACCAGGTGATTATATACATATGGATCTATTTCTGGGCACTATATTCTGTTCCATCTGATTTGTTTTGTTTTGTTTTTGAGATGGGGTCTTGCTCTGTTTCCCAGGCTGGAGTGCAGTGGCGTGATCTCGGCTCTCTGCAACCTCTGCCTCCCGGATTCAAGCGATTCTCCTGCTTGTCTCCCAAGTAGCTGGGATTACAGGCATGTGCCACCACATGCTAATTTTGTATTTGTAGTAGAGACGGCGTTTCTCCATGTTGGTCAGGCTGGTCTCCAACTCCCAACCTCAGGTGATCCACCTGCCTTGGCCTCCCAATGTGCTGGGACTACAGGCATGAGCCACTGCACCTGGCTGGCTGTGGGTTTTTCATACATGCCTTTATCTGGCTGAGGAACATCCCCTCTAGTCCTAGTTTGCTGAGATTTTTTTAAATCACATTGGATCTTGACAAATTCTTTTTCCTGTGGTTCCTGAAATAATCATATGGTTTTTCACCTTCGTTCTGTTAATATGAAGAATTATATGAACTGATTTTTTCAAATACAAACCAGCCTTACATTCCAGGGATAAATGCCACTTGGCTATAATATATTATCCTTCTACATATGTTAATGGATTTAATTTTTGCCAATGTTTTGATAGGGATTTTGTGTAATATTTCTTCTTATGTAATATAAACATTTAAGCTACAAAGCCGTAAGTTTCTAAATACTGCTTTATGTATATCCCACAAATACTGACATGCTATGTTTTCATTATAATTCAGTTTAAAATATTTTCTTTTCTTTTTAATTTCTTTGACCCAGGGTTTATTTAGAAATGTATTGTTTAATTTCCAAATAATTGAGAATTTTCTAGATATCTTTTGTTGTTGATTTCCACTTAAATTTCACTGAGAACATACCCGGTATTACTTCATTCCCTTTGAATTTATCAAGACCTGTTTGATGGCCCAGCATATGGTCTATCTTGAGGAATATTCCATATTCGTTTGAAAATAACGTGCACTCTGCAGTTGCTGGTGGGTTTAATGAACGTGCACGAGGCCAGGCTGGCAGGGAGAGTTGTCAGGCCCTCTCTCTCCTTCTGTGTGTGTTCTTCCTTGTTCTAATCACAGAAGAGGAGTGGTGAGATCTCCTACGTCTGTTTTGTTTTTCTTTTTGAGATAGAGTTTCGCTCTTATTGCCCAGGTTGGAGTGCAATGGTGCCATCTCAGCTCACTGCAAACTCCGCTTCCCGGGTTCAAGTGATTCTCCTGCCTCAGCCTCCCTGAGTAGCTGGGATTACAGGCATTTGCCACCATGCCCAGCTAATTTTTGTATTTTTAGTAGAGACAGGGTCTCACCATGTTGGTCAGGCTGGTCTCGAACTCCTGACCTCAAGTGATCCACCCGCCTCGGCCTCCCAAAGTGCTGGGATTACAGGCATGAGCCACCACATCCGGCCGAGATCTCCAACTTTAATCATGAATCTGCCAGTTTCTTCTTTCACTTTTGTCAGTTTTAACATCATGTCTTTTGAAGCAAGACAAGGATTTTTAATGTCCTCTGGATGTACTGATGCCTTTATTATCACAAAATGCCCTTATCTCTAGTAATATTCCTTGTTAGGAAGTATGCTTTGTCTTACAGTATCATTTGACCATGACTCAAATCTGCTTTAAAAATCCAATGTCCCTTTCTTTTACCTAACATCATCTTTGCATTACCAAACCTTCTGCCTAGAAGTAGAAATCATTCTAGTATAAAACTGAGGAGGACAAAATGAACTAGTCCCATCCCTGTCCCAAAGGAAGGCAGCTCACTAGACTGTAGACATTTGTGTTGTCCCCCACCCCAAGACAACTCACCAACATTCATTCACTATGGAACAACAGAAAGGTTTGTCTGATGGTTAAAAATACTTTCTATTTCGGCCGGGCACGGTGGCTCAAGCCTGTAATCCCAGCACTTTGGGAGGCCGAGACGGG